TCTGTGGATTTCTAACAAAGGAAAGCCCCCCTATGCCATTTGATTAATTAAAGTTCCGTGCTGCTCGCCACTCCCCGAGGCCAAGGACGGGGTCGAACCGTCATTCCAGGATTTGCAGTCCGATACATTTCCATTATGTTACCTAGCCAAACCCGCCACCGCATATGTATAAAAAGAGGGAGCGGGGAAGGAAGAACAACCGTTTCACTTTGGAACATGAGGTGGCGGGCGGAGCGCTCTATATGATCGGCGGCGGCAGAGAAGAGGGGACAACTTCTTTCTCCCTTGCCTTGCTCAATTTTCCTTTTCTGATTGAAAGTAGCAAGCCACTCCACTACTGGTATATAGGCCAGATCAGATAAAGGGTTGCTTCCTCTATATGTTCTTTGCCTGAACATATAGAAGCTAGCTTTTGTTTTGTCTTGTAAGCAACCATGCCTATATAATCGAATTTTGCTTACCAAAGTGGTCTTACTAAAAGTAAGTAAGCAACCAGTTCCGTTCCAAGTGACATGGCTTTTCACTACTCTTTTCCAGAGAAGGTTGCTCATCCAGCCCGGCGGATCCATTGTTTATGCGGCAGTGCGATGCAGCTGAAAAAGCAAGCCCTTTCTTTATATTAGTAATATTAGTAAGGTATAGGTTGCGGAAAACTCCAAAACTAGGGTTCCAAAATAAAAAGCTTACCTTATATTAAATATAAGTTTTAGAAAAAGGCACCCCTACTATACCCCTAAACTAGAAGCTAGCGCGCAACGGCTGAAAAGCCGTTGTTGCTTGCTGCTTGCAAGCTCGAAAATCTCTCTTTCGCCTCACCATTCTGATTGATTCGCTTCTTCCTTCGCGAAAGCGCGGAACCCCTTGTTGTGTTGCATTTCGTGATCCTCCGCTTCAGTCTACGTTTTTCGGATAGCCGGGATCCGACGTTGATTTCCGATTTAAATTAAATGTCAGCTCCAGGTTTTGGGCGGCCCATCCGGTTCGTCTGGTTAGTTCAGCTATCACTGCTGGAAGCCCCTGCGGTTGTTCGGCTGCGTACTCCCCGTCCGCCTATCTCACACTCCCAAAGCATCTTTTTTCTTTCATATTTCTTTCTATACATAGGTCGGCTTTGTGCAGATAGATGTTTGCCGGGGGAGATTGGTGCTCCTTGAGGTATGCCCTTCCGGTGGGTTGTTCTCTGTCTTTTCCATCCAGTGCCCGCACTGCGTCAGAAAATCTTCGTCTTCGATCTCTCTTCGCAACGCAATAAAGAAGTCTAGCAGTTTCTCTCGGCATCTATCTGTCTTTTAAGTCATTGATCTCATATCTATAAGCAGGTGGGTCTGCGTTCAGTTCACTATTAAGCCTACGCCCGTCCATTCCTTTCAAGCTTGATCCCGCCCTTAGACTCGTTACGCTGTTCGACTGAACTCGTTGGCTCCGCGCTCTATTCGGGCGGAACCCGGTTCGAGAACCTTCTCTCATAGATTCCCTTCACCAAGTCATCGCCAGCAATCAGCTCTTATCTCTTGGTGTCAAAGGGCGAGTTCCTTTCTTGTCTTGCCCAAAAACTTTTTTTATTCTCATTGGAGAAAAACTCTCTCGCGGCAAGGTTTTAGACTAAGGGCAAGCGAGATAAAGAAAGCAGCTGGCCCTTAGTCCGTCTAGCGCCTTTCGGTTGGGGTCCGCCCCGGGGGGTCGCTTGGGTTAGATTTTTTAGTCTCGAAGGCAGTCAACGTGTCAGCCATTCTTCTCCCATTAGACTTGTAAATCCCTTGCTCTTTTTCTTTCTCTCTTCCAGTTCTCTCCCTCTACTTTATTTTAGAGGGGCGGAGAATACATACCACTCTATCAATAACAAGAAAAAAGTAGCAATTCAGTTTCAAATGGTTTGAGCTTGGAAGCAACCTGCTATCTATCGATAGGCGAGAACAGACTGCTATTGGCTGCTTCGCCTATCTATTCTATTATGGCCGGCTTGGAGACATCAGAGGAAGACCATCATCTCTATCCGGATCATAGCTTCATTCGTTGAACCTTGGGGATAACTATTAGCATTGAGGTCAATCACCACCTCTATCATACATACATACGACATTACATGACGCGAGAGCGCATGGTCAACACACACCTACAGCGCCTTCGTTCCGCTTGCAGCCAATACAACCACAACCTAACTTGCATGAGATTCAACAACCGAAACTACTGGTAGTCCTGAGGGGACGGCATCCTCCTATAATAGTTAGCAGTACTGAACAAGCGAGTCATCGGTCCGGGGAAAGAAAAAAAGGACCGCCTTTGAAAAAAAAAGGAACTCGTTTAACTCGCTAGGCCTTCGGAACACCAATCGGGATTTATTGCTACAAAGTGATGCCGTTTGTTTGGATTGAAGAATGTAGGCGCTACGTACTAATCTAATGCATGATGTATACTATCTGTCGACCTGACGAGTTGAGACTAATCATCGGGGGACGATTAATTCAACTTGCAGAAAGTCAGCACGCAAAAGGTTGCATGAGTGTGGGTGTAAGTGCGAGTGTCTTTTGGGTAGAGACCCGGGTTTAGACATGTCTATACATCGTCTAGGGGAACACGATGACAAGACTTGTATCTGGATGTGCAAGAGTATCATCTGGAGAGGCTTTAGTGATTAAGTTTTAATCAATCATATTAATTAAGGTAAGGGTCCTAATCCTTTTTCACTAAGTCCATGGATCAATGTCCAGGTATCATTAAGTATAGTATGTTGTCATGTGTGGGGGAGCTTTCATGATAAAACTTGATTAGTAAACCCTAATCCTAGTCAAGGGAGAGTGACTGTATAATCCTGTGGTTTGGTCGATTGAGACTTATTGCATGTATGCCGCTGTGGGCCATTGCCTTCAAAAAAATTCCTTTTGACACGGTTTGCTCATCGAAATAATTACCATCGTATTGGGGATTTTTGCCCTAAAAACTTTTTGGGGCCTTTTCCACATTCGAGAATTGCCGCCAGATGGACCTTTTTTGGGCAGAAAATGGGACCATGAGACCTGGGTCTTTCCTCTTCCAGACGGGCTGGACGAACTTCTTTCTTGCGTGGAAAAACATGTTGATATGTTTCTCCTGTCGGGCTTTATCTACTTCTTTTCAGATCTATTTTGAGACGGGCTTAGCTCATTAGCTGAAATCCAGGTTTTTCATTTGGGGCACGCTTGATGGGTTCTTGCGTCAGCAGGGTGTTGAGCGCTACGTGTTCTTGAAACAAGGGTCTTTCTTCACCACCCGATTTTAGAGGAGCTAAGTGATCCTTTCCTTTTCGATTGTGGCGGGTTCGTTTAGATTTTTCGCCCATCGTATGCACACCTTTTAGTCATCCTGAGAGGAGGTCCTAGCAGGTTCGTTCCTCAACTCGATAAGCTCGTCTGGCGGGTCCCTTCTGTCTTTTCACTTTTTAAAAACCTTCACTGCATCAACCAGTTTTTTGGGCAAGAGATCTCTGAAGGCTAGCTTTGCTATGCTATGTCACAGGCGAGCTGAGGTGAGCCGAATACTCACTACCATTTTTAGAGGTCTTGAGTCGAAGCAGGGAACGAGGGAAGGACAAGAGTATACGGAACGAGAAGTGAAGGCGGGGGCAGCACCTATTGGAAAACCTTGATCCAGAACCATAATCGGGTTATCCTAATCCAATAGCTGATTATTAAAAAACAAAGTCATTTTCGGCTCAAACTTCAGCAAAGGTAGCACAGTCAGCAGCATTATATCCAGTGCCCACCAATACGGATCCCGAGCCAATTACAGGGGCGGGGCACTTATCCGTCTCTCTCGCCTCTATAGTGATTATCGCTGCGCGATAGATCCACTTGTTTGGATGGGTAAATCACTAAATCAACCGGTGTTCTGGCCACTCCCATCACTTATAGGTAAAAGCTCGCGGGTTAGAAACCTTTTTTACGGTACTTGGTTTGAAGCATAGGTAGATCGGGATCAATATAAGTCAGTAAGCCCCACCAATGCCTAAGATATCCACCAGCAGATTCTCCAAAGGAAGCATAGAAAGTTTACCCTTTCAGCGATCTTCGAAAGAGAGTATGCTCTTCTTGATGCAAACGATGGGAATGAAGATATCAAGGTTTTGACAGTTGAAAAAGAAAGGACATATCTTGCGGGCTGCCCCTGTATCAAACAACGGGAAAGGTCTTTTTCTCTCTCTCTCTGATACAATCCGTCGCGTCGGCCCTAGCCAAGTGGAAAAAGAGCTTAATCGGCCTGGGCAAAAGACCAAAAAAATGTCATCCATTTCTTAATTTCCTGGCGAGGAGTTGAACCAAAGCCAGCGCTAACTATTCGGTGAATTGGGTCGGGTATACTAGGGTGCTGTTCCCTAACCCTAGCGTAGTTAGGACGGTAACAAGTGGAAGTCCTGGGAAGAGGGGCTACCTAGCAAGCTTATAACAATGGGTGAAATCAAAGGAATCTCTTTCATCATTCAACTTTTAGATGCTAAAGAAAAGATGTGCTTTCAAAGGGCTTTCTTTAATTAGTTCTATTCCACCGCCGGTCCTACAGTAGTAAACACGAATTCCTTTATTCAATTTAGTTCTCCTCCCTAACGGCACACTGTATATAATCTCTCTAGATGGCCAATGTGAACAGTTCAATCAAACTTGTATGTGTTCAGCATATTGAAAGTGACATTGACAAAGCAAAGCACGGATTCCCTAGAATGTTAGAACT